AGGTGGTTATTGCATCTGTCCGGAAAACGCCGGAGGAAAGAATCGCGAAGTTTTAAACGGGGAAAAACAGAGATTATTTGAGTTTGTGGGGTTTGTTTGCTTTGTTGGTTTGGGTTTTTTGGTTTTTTTTGTGTCTCCGCTAAAGCCCCACAACAAGTACCGGGGATGGGGGGGATTCCCAGCCGGGAATTCCCTGTCCCTGCCCCTGGGGGAGCGGCCCGGGGGAAGGGGCGGCTGTCCCCGGAGCCCCCGGCCCGGGCTCGCCCGCTCCGTGTCCCCGCTGTCTCCAGGGCCACCCGCACCGGGGCTGCCCTTGCCCTGCCCGGGGGCCGCAAACGGAGCTGAGGGGTGGGAACGATTGAGAACGATGGGATCGTTCCTGTTGGAGAATCCTTCTGGAGATCAGCGGGTAAAGCTGGCACTGCCAGCCCATCAGCGAGCCGTGTCCCCAAGCGCCACATCCCCCCGGCTTGTGAGGGATGGGGGCCGCAGCAGCGCCCCGGGCGAGCCCTGCTGGGGCTGGCTCATTGCTGTAACAGCGAGGGGAAGTTGCAGAAAGTGCCTGTTCCCCTCATCCACCGGGAATGAGATTTCTGCCAGGCGTTGGGCAGCGGGGGTGGTCTCTTTAGCATCTATTCTCGGGCTGGTTTTTCCCTCGGTGGTTTTGCGTGAAAACACATGAGCTAAATCTGTGGTTTCCTCGGGGCTCCGCAGCGAGCCCTGGCGAGTTATCCTGTGCTGGTGGTCCCCTCTACAACTCTGTTAATTGGTAACTCGGGGATGGAGAGAGTCCTTATTAGCAAACTGCCCCCTCCGCATCCCTCCCCTCCCGCTGAACACAGCTCCGGGAGGCGATTGCCAGGAAGGGCTGTTTGTCAAAGGCTAATAAACAAATTCCTCGCGAACACCTGAATGAGCCAGGGCCAGGAACAGCCCAATTAAAAAACGGGAGCTACTGGTTGTTTTTTTGTGGCGGTGGAAACAATCCGGACTCGAAAAGGGTCTATTCAGAGGGCGCTCCGAGAGGTCTGTTTGCAGCCCTCTATTGTTGTCAGAAGCCAAATAAAAGTTCAGCTGGGGGGGGCGGGGGAGGGAAGTGATTAAAAAAAAAAAAACAACAACAACAAAAAACCCAAAAAAACATTCACCGCTGCCTCCTGAACGCGCTGGGAGGCTCAGTTCAAAGGGATCGAGCTAAGACCAAACGACGCTGGCCGGGTTTACCCACGCACTTCAGATTTTTTGTTCCTAAATGTTGCGATTTTTAATGATGTCATCAGAAGTAACCCTTGCTTCCCCGGATCGGCGAGCAGCAGGGACAGCTGGGGGCTGTGTGCAGCTGCGATCTCCACGCGGCGAGGCGCTGGGGCAGCCACGGCGAGGAGTTGGAGTTCGTTTGTCGGAACTAATGATTTTGTTGTCCCCCTGGCCAGGCTGGGAGGTCGCTCCAGCCCTGTCAGCCCCGCGGCGAGAGAGGCAGCAGCAATCTCGAGCTGCCTTTTGGCGTGACAATTAAATGGAGAATAAAACAAAATAAGAATCTCCTAACGACCTTTAGCTGTAGAATCAGCCTTAAATGGCCCATTTAGCAGCCACATCACCACGCTGAAAACTTCTGCGGGAGGACGTGAATGCTACCCTGAAACGGGGATCACGTGAAGTTTTATCTTAAGCATCGCTAAAAGGCTGGGCGTTTTCGGAGGATCAGCCTGGCGAGGGTCAGCAGGGTTCAAACGAAAGAGGCGCCCAGCTCCCTTGTCTGGGCAAATTTCGAGAACGAACCCTCGTGGATCTTGGTCGGAAATTAGGCTGGTGACCATGGGGACGTTTTAATAACGGGATTAGACGTGGCCGGGTTCGTATATTCTTGAAAAGCCAGCGATCCTCCCTGACGCAGTTCCAAGATTCCCCCGAGCTCTTCTGGAGCCGCAATTAACATATATTAATGGTTCTTTCTTATTAAGCGTGGATCTCTCAGAAACTCCAGCCAGACTCTTTTAAATGGCCCTTTTCAAGCGCCGCGTCTCTCTCGCGTTCAAGTTGGGTCGTGCTGTAAACTCCTTATCTCGCCTCACGCTCCTTTGTCACCCAAATAAATAAATAACAATAATAAAAGGCTCCTCAGCCTTTGACAACTGTATTTACACGACCTCAAGTGTTCTCCGACCCCCACCAGACACACGGGGCTTCCCTCGGAGTGAATTTAAGAAAATGGCTCCAGGCATCAGGTTTGTTGTGCCGGGCTGGGTCCCTCCTGCCCTCGGCCCCTTCCCGGCAGCTCCGCAGGCTCCGTCCCCGTTCCCGGGCGAGGCGGAGGCTCGGATTTGCTGCCGAGGGGGTGGACTGGGGTCTCAAAGCGCGCTGCAGGTAACTTTGGGGAGCGGCAGCTGCTCCAGCCGGCTCGCCTCGTTCTCCTGCTCCGCACGCCGCCTCCCCGGCGTTTTCAGGGCAGGGACAAGGAGGGACAGAGCGACAGCCGACCGCAGGTGCGGGGTGGCCAGGGGAAGGGCTGCTGGTGGCCACCTGCGAGCGGTCCCGGGACAGCCCCGAGGGAGGGAAGGCGGCTCCGCGCTCCGCTGCCGAAACCCCGGCCGGGCGGAGGGATTGGAGCACAGGGTCCTGCTCACCTCTTCTGGAAATAGCAATCAGCCGGATTTGGGAGTTTTCCGAACAACATGTGCGGCGTGGGAAGCCAAGAGCGGCGGGAGCATTACAGGGAACTGTGAAGTCTGGAAATCCATGAGTCTGTACTTACATTTGTATTCAGTTCTTTTAAAAGATTAGCGTTCAAGAGAAATGTTGTCTTGGTTAGAAATAATATGGACCTTAAGCGTGCTTAAGAGCTTGGCTTTTAGAGGAAAAAAACCCTCTAATTTGATACTCAAGCAGTTCATAGTCGAATTGAAAGACAAGTAAGAGTCCGAAACTTAACGTTGTAATATTTATTCAAACATTGACGGAAATACTATTCAGGGGGATTTCAGCACGTCCTCTGATTCTCTATTCAGCCTAATTTTTCGTTGCATGCCAGCGTGTCCAGTCCCTCCAACAAACGCTCATCTAAAGAAATATCAAAGTACTGTCGGACATACCAGTCCGACTTCCTGCCAGTCTGGCAGGTCTTAAACCTCGACTGGAGGGGCCAAAAATATATTGAGGGTTAGAAGTTAATTACGACTGTCTGAAGCTTTCCCAAAATATTACAAAAGTACAAGCGAACCACTCCCGCCTCCCGCTGTCACCCTGTCCCCTCGGGCTGCCAAATTTTGACTTTGCTCAATACACCAGCAGCAAACCAAGCAAAAACCAAAGTGCTGACTACCCCATAGCCGGTCGCGAGCGGGATTTATTTCCCCTTCGACGTTGTTCAATAGATCATTTTGTCAAAAAAAAGAAATCCGTACAAAACGAGCGAAACGTTCGAGTGCTAAATCCCAGCAGTGTTCAGATCGGCTCACTGCACCCCCTCCACGCCACCGCGCTGTTTCCAGTCCCCGCAGCGCCCGTCCGCTCCCGTGCGGGCTGCAGCAGGGCCGGGAGCTCCTCATCCCCGCCCTGCCCCGGAGGTTTCCTCCTCCCCGTGCCGATTACCGTCCTCACACTCGCGGTCTTGTCTTTGGGGTGACCCCGGTGCCCGCCAAGCCGGGAGCTGCGGCGGCAGCATCGCTCCTCGCCGGGCCGCCCAGGACGGGACGGGAGGCTCAGACCCGTCCGCACCTCAGGGCCCCCGACCCTCCCCGGCGGCCCACACGCCCCTGGGGCAGTTTGCTCATAGCTACAGCGGCGATGCTGCCCGCATCCTCCGGCAGCGAGGCTTTCCCCGAGCAGCCTGCGGCTCGCTTCGCCTCTCCTGCCCCAGCGCTCCCCGGCCCGCAGAGCCGCCCGGCTTCTCCAGGCGCAGCTGGAGCGGGGCCGCAGGGGGATGAGGAAGAGCAGGGATGGGGCAGCCCAGCCCGCCTGCCCCGTCCGTGCAGGTGCGGTGTCCGTGCCTCTGGCGAAGGAAGGGAAGGAGGGGTAAGGGGAGGGGAGGGACGGACAGGGAAGCCGCTGATTGACAGCTCCAGTGGGCGCCGCTCCACTCGCTTATCCGCCGCCAAAGTTTTCTTTCACACGGAGAGAACTTTCTGTTGCCATGAAACTCGGGGGATTCGCAAGCGCCGTCCCCTCTACCCCACCCCTCCCTCCCGTTTTGGGGCAGCCGAGTGGAAAAGCTCAAGTGGCAGCGGGGTGGGTGTGGGTGGGGACGGCCGGGAGCGCCCGGTCAGTAGCCACCCATGCCGGCCCCGCGGGGCAGCCCCTCTCCCAGCGACAGCCGTGCCCGATCCTGGCACGGCAGTGTAGATTCTCCCCCAGGCCACAGCTGAGGAGTGGGAGAGTTTAGCCCGTCCATCCCTCCCCCGCCCCTTTATCCGCTCCGGGGGTGCGTCCGTGCAGTGCGGGCTCCCTCGGTCTCCGGGCAGTCTCTCCGAGCTTGGCCCGGGTCTGTGCATCAGCCCGGGAGCCCCAAACCTCTTTGTGCCCGGCAACCGCGCAGCTCCCGCTCGCAGCGCTGCGCTCCGCCCCGCTCCTCCTCCCCGCGGCCCCGAGGGCACCCCCGGGCCGCTCCTTTCCCCGGGGGCCGCTCCTTCCCGGGAGCCGCTCCTTCCCCCGTCCGTGCCGCGGCTGCTGGAGCCGCTCTGCCCCGGGGCAGGTGCAGGGCCGGGGCGGGAGGGGCCCGGCAGCCGCGGCCGCGGCATCCCCGGGCCCGGGTCCCTCCGCCCGCCCCCCGGCCGGGCAGACCCCGGCCCGGGGCTGCCGGGAACCGCTCGCTGATTGGCCGCCGCCCCCTCATTTATAGCCCGTCAATCACGGACCCCCGCGATCCGAGCGCGCATCGCCGCTGCCGCCCGCGGGAGCGCTCCGCACAGCAGCGGCTCCGCCACCGCCGGCACCTCGGGGAGCGGCGCTTCTGCCCGGCACCCAAACTTCCTCTTTCTCTCGTGGCAGCCGCCCAGGCAGGTTTTTTTTGTTTCTTTCTTTTTTGTTTGTTTGTTTGGTTTTTTTTCTGTTTTTTGAACTTCCTCTCCTCGCTCGGTGCCCGCCTGCCCGCCGCCCTGGCGCACCTTTTACCGGCCCCGGCCATGTACAGCATGCTGGAGACGGAGATCAAGGCGCCGCAGCCCACGCCGGGCAGCACCGGGGGCAACTCCGCTCCGGGGAGCGCCGGCAAAGGCGGCGGAGGCGGCGGGGCCGGCAACGGAGCGGGAGCGGGCTCGGACCAGGACCGGGTGAAGCGCCCCATGAACGCCTTCATGGTGTGGTCGCGCGGGCAGCGGCGGAAGATGGCCCAGGAGAACCCCAAAATGCACAACTCGGAGATCAGCAAGCGCCTCGGCGCCGACTGGAAGCTGCTGAGCGACGCCGAGAAGCGGCCCTTCATCGACGAGGCCAAGCGGCTGCGGGCCGTGCACATGAAGGAGTATCCGGATTACAAATACCGGCCCCGGAGGAAGACCAAGACCTTGCTGAAGAAGGACAAATACTCGCTGCCCGGTAACCTGCTGGCTCCGGGGGGGGGCAACGCGGTGAGCAGCCCCGTCGGGGTGGGGCAGAGGATTGACACTTATGCCCACATGAACGGCTGGACCAACGGGGCTTACTCGCTGATGCAAGAGCAGCTGGGCTACAGCCAGCACCCGGGCATGAACAGCCCGCAGCTGCAGCAGATGCACCGCTACGACATGCCGGGCCTGCAGTACAGCCCCATGATGTCCACGGCCCAGACCTACATGAACGCCGCCTCCACCTACAGCATGTCCCCCGCCGCCTACGGCCAGCAGCCCTCCACGGCCATGAGCCTGGGCTCCATGGGCTCCGTGGTGAAATCCGAGCCCAGCTCGCCGCCTCCGGCCATCACTTCCCACTCGCAGAGGGCCTGCCTGGGAGACCTGCGGGATATGATCAGCATGTACCTGCCCCCCGGCGGGGATGCCACAGACCCTTCCGCCCTGCAGGGCAGCAGGTTACACAGCGTGCACCAGCACTACCAGAGTGCCGGGACTGCCGTCAATGGTACCGTACCACTAACTCACATATAAACTTGGCTGCTCCGGACGGCTCCCCGGCTTAATCCCTAACCCACCACCGCTCTAGACTACACCGGGACGTACGGCAGTGTTGCTCGGCTTAGCAGACTTAATACTAACTCTGGAGAAATTTTAAAAAGGAAATCCGTTAGTTGTGTACTTTTTTTTTTTTTTTTTTTTTTTTTTTTTTTTATAAAAATTTTTTTTTTTTTTTTTTTTTTTTTACAAGAAATAATATTTGAGCAAGTTGTTATTTTAATAGAGCACAACTCCTGCCTCCTAGAAGCCGCTGTGAAGTTTTCAAACCACGGCAACTCCTTTCCTGGTTTCGGCTAGGTTGGGTATTGTTTTATTCGCTTGAAAGTTTTTTTTTAAAAATCTTGCATCTTCCAGTTTGATTTCTAGCGTTGCAATGACATAAACAAAAACCGCGGGCTTTTGTTTTTAAACTCGGTTGTTCACATAATCGCTGTGGTTTATTAAGTGTTTTGTTACCGACCCTCGCTTGGTTTCTATCAGCAATCTGTAGCTTCCACGACTTTTTTAATTTTGAGGTTTTAGTCCTTGAAAAGGGGGAGGTGGGAGAGAGCAGAGCTGTGCGGGTCGCAAACGCGTTTCTTTTATTTATAGTAAGTTGTATGTCTTGGTTTTTCTTAAGCTGTAAACTTATGTAAATGGGTTTGTGAATTTTACTGTGAACCATGTTTTGACATATCGGATAAAAAAAAACAACAACGTTTTAGTTTTGTTACCGGATTCCTTCCAAAAAAAAAAAAAAAGTTACCGAAATACTTCTTCCCTGTTCCTAGTCCTCGTTTGCTTCCTTCTTCCGAACGAAGAGAGATCAATAAATTTTCTATCAGGCACGTCGGCGGTGTCCGGGCGGTTTGTGCGGATCCCCCGCGGGAGCGCGGAGCGGGGCCGGGCCCATCGCGGGGCTCCCGCAGCATCGCGGCCCCGCCGCCCGCTCCGGGAGCTGCCGCCGCTCTCCGGCTGCGTTCCTCGGCCTGCCGAGCCGGGCTGTGTTTTGGGGGGCGGGCGAGGGAGAATGCGCTCCTTGGATTTGGTTTTCTTTTCAAGTGAAGCGGGAGCCGGGCCGGCGCTGCCGCTCTGCGAGCCGCGGCCACTTGTTGCCTCCCCGCCCGGCTGCGTTGTCTCGGCCGACGGGAGCGAAGGGATTACGGCTCCGCCTCGCCTTGTTGTGCATTTCCCTTTTTTTTTTTTTAAATCCGGAGGATTTGCCTAGATACGCCAAGTCATCTAAAATATTTACAAAAGCAAAACCCGTTGGGGAACTCTTAATTAGACACCATTAAAAATGAATGGTTACGGGAGTCCCCAGAGGAAATAAATAATTTAAAGTATGTTTGACGAGTGCTTGGAGTCTGGACGACTTTTCCTTCCTTTCCCAGCCCGTTTGATTTTTTTTTTTTTTTTTTTTTTTTTTTTTTTTTTTTTTGGTTTTTTTTTTTTTTTTTGATGTGCGTTACTCGTGCTGCGCTGCGGAACAGCCCCCGGGGCGGCCAGCGGAGCTGAGCATCGCTTCTCCCCCGCCCCGAGCCCTGTTCCGGCCGGTCCCCGCGTGTGTCCCCGCTCCTGGGCAGCTCCGAGCCGGCCGCTCCGCAGCGCATCCCCGCTTCGAGCTTCGCCGCCGGCCTGCTCCCGCAGGCACAGGAGCAGAGGGGACGCCAGGGCGCTGCTGGGGTTTGGGTTTGGGTTCGGGGGCCTGCCCTGCCACCCCGTTCCGACGGCGGCTTCGGGCACAGCCGGTGCCCCTTGGCTGCGCGGGGCGGCCGCATCCGCGCTCCTTCCCCGCCGCTTCCCCCCGGGCCCGCAGCGGGGATGCCCCGGCAGCGAGGGCGTCCCTGAAGGCTCCTGCCTTCTCCGCCGGGAAGCAGGACCGGGCAGGGCTTTCCTCGGGCTCTCCACGGGGTGAGGATGCTCTGCAAACCTCCCCGAGAGTCCCGCTGGCTGGCGGCTCCCGGCGCGGTCCCGCAGCGGGCCAGCCCCGGCCCCGCACGCCGCCCCCGGCACGGCCGGGGATCCCCTCTAATGAGAGCCCCCGTGTTTCCTACCCGCGGCTTAATTCATCCATGAGATTTCTGGTGAAATCTGGCGAAGCCGTGGCGCTGCTTCTTCTGCCTGTTTGTGCTGCTGTCCCACAGGTAGGAGCAGGAGAGTAGAGTAGCTGGTACCATGACTTAGCTGGTACCTTGAGGAGAAGCAGATCCATAAATAACCTGGAGGTCTGAGGGAAGGTGGTAGCATCTGTGGAATTAGCAGAGTACAGGGTAGCAGCAGGACCGATTTCATCTCAAACTGTTGCCCTGTGCTCTCCAGAACCGGCAGTACCAGGACAGCTCTCAGTAAGGAAGAGTGAAATTCCCATTTTCTGAAACAATTCTCCCTCCACCTTCCCAGGCAGGTTTGCAGGTGCAGGTCTGACAAAAGCCAGGGCTCCTGAGCAGGTGAGCAGCTGCCAGCACTGGAATTGTACTTGGTGTCTTCAAACTGCAGCTGCATCATTATAAATATTTGTTCTTTACCTCTGGTTTTGTGGAAGTGGATTCTCTGCCATGAAAGAGGAGAAACACCTTTTTCAGAGTTTGTAGTATTTTTAAGCACAAGTTATTCTTGTTTGGCCTAAGTCAGGGCCCAAGGAGGGTCTGTGAGCGAGTTCCTGAGGGGTCACAGAGAAATGTCTCTATAAATGTCTGTGCCTTGCTCTCTCTGGAAGGTCCTATCAGTGGTTTGGCTTAGGGCTGCTTTTCCTGATATACTGGTTTTGAGATGTCCGGGTAAAATTCCCAATGCAGTTCTCAGCTTCCTGGGGTAAACTTTATCCCAAAGTTCATAAGCTGTGTTCAGAGCTGTGGGAAGGGTTCTGAAAACTGCACACACTGGACTGGACAGGCCCTTGGAGCCCAGCCTTGTACATTAGGTACAAACAGAGATACAGCCTCTTCTTCCCTCAACGGGAGTGTTTTTAATTACAGAGCTAACAGCATGGAAGGAGACATTGCCTAAAAGGCAACTTTTTTTCCCCCAAAGAGCAGTTAACAGCCTTTTCTTGGGCCCAGGAGATTTTCCTCCTGAACAAATACAGATATATGTTCTCTTTAGACCTGATGAAGGTTTGTTTTACTTGTGCTGAGCTCCATTTTTACCTTTGCAGGGTATCTGGCCCTTGACATCCCTCCTGCATGCATGCAGGCATTAAATCTAAATGCCTTTTTAGCACTGCCCAGGCAGGATCTCCTTCCCCTGCTGGTGTGGGAGAGCTCAGAGTGGAGCCATTACCATTCACAGGTAAAGTTCCAAACTAGGAAGCGCTGGGTTGTTGCCCACCTAATACAACTCCAGCCTTATTCTACAACATCCAGCATAAATGCAAGTGCACCCTTTAGAATGATAGAGCACTGGCTCTGGAGAGGTTAATGCTGGCATTAAAGTGCAATGGCAATATTTAGGCTTTTGTTTTAACCTGTTTTTGAGGGGAAGATAACACTTGGTGCTGTTGGTTTGTCAAAATCCCATGCATTGGGTTACATTTTCATGGTTCCTTCCTATGCCAAAGAACTTCAGAGGTAATTTATTGCAAAAAAGTTGGTAAGTTAATATAGTTAAAAGTTAAATTTTTGAAACAGTGAGTAAAATATAATAACTAGCAGAGGAAACTTATGGTGAGTATTTTAATAATATTTTAAGAATACATATTAAACTGCATGTTTTTGTATTTCTGCTGTTTCTTTGCTACAAGAAGAGATGAAGACTAAATTCAGAAAAACCATTAGCATAGACACTTTGTGAAAACATTCATAAATTATCTTTTTAGTTGCCCCATATCAAACAAGGGACTAAAAAGATACTTCTCAGGAGCATTATTAGGAAGATAGGAACTTGTGTAACTATCCTCCAGTGCAGTGCTAAGGGAAAGGATGATTTCTCAGGAATGAGTACACCTGAAACCTGAAGCTGGGTGATGTTCAGGACTGGAATGTTGCTGCTGTTCTCAGTGCCTGCAAAAGTAAGAAGCTCCAAATGGTTTCTTTACCACTACCACAGACTTGATCCCAGATTTCCTGTAGTCATATCCAGTTTATTCACATGTTGCAGATTCAGATTATTTCTATGGTAAATTCCATCACTAAATTCTGACAAAACTCTGAAATAACAAAGAGAGAAAATTTTAATCCATTCCTTTAATATTTCTCAAGGAAGGTGTGGATAGCCATCATTGCAGAAGTTTGCATGAGATAATTTAGTGGTTAATGCAGATTTCCAAATTAGTTTTCCGCATACTTCCCTATGACAACTTTTAATTGATGCCACTGGATGCAGCAATCAATGCAACAGTGACTTTTTCCCAACAGAATGTCCTCAGGATGAGGAATTAATTATTCTTTGCTGCGAATACCATTCACAGCCAACTTCTTTGTGTTGCAAGTCAGGCAGACAGGATTTTAGATTTTCTTCTTCCAAAGGCATCCTCAGAAGCTCAGTATCTGTATTAAACCTCAGTTTTCCAGTTTCTAAAATATCTCAACTTCCTTAGTGCAGCAGGAGAGATTGCAAAGCATGTGAGCAAACATGAGAGAGAGCAAGAGAATTGGGAGAGGTCACAGAACATCCACAAAAAGATGTATTCATACCTTCTCCATGATGAAAAAAAAATGTACCACAGTGTTGTGCTCAGGATGCTCATCTTTATTGCTGTTGCTAAGTTCAACTAAAATATATTTCTATTTATTCAGGAATACATCAAATTAAGACCAATCAATCTGAGCGTGGTTTGGCCTGGTTTGAAAATATTTGTGCTGATACCAGTGAAGCCTCCAATTCAAGTCCACATGAGGAAGAAGTTGTGGGGTTTCAACACATCCCGTTGATCTTGTGGAAAAATCTGCACCTTTTTCCATGCTTTGGCCATCCCATGCTGGGGGATTGGTGCAAACTCCCCTGGCTGATGGGGTGAGGTGTGAAACACAAACTCCTGCATAAACTGGGCTGGCTCCAAAGAAATGCAGAGCGAGGGGGGCTCAGAGCCCCATGCCCGTGTGTATTTTCCACGTGCACCCAGGGCTGAGAGCCAGGCACCCGTGGGGAGCAGCTTAGCAAGAAGAGGGAAATTAAGCAACGTTCAAAACTTGTGAGCTGCTGTCATTTATCTCTTCTGTGGCTTCTGATTGAGATTCTG